GTGTCGCTAAAGTTTCGTCGGAACGAAGTTACGGAAAGTTAATTAACGAACGGAGACGTAACAATATGTAGGGGTTTTTGATTCCGTTTACTTTACCATATAGTATCCTGAATCAATTTTGGTTACCATAAAGTGAAGTAAATCGAATTCAAAACCATATAGTTTAATTAATAGTTTCTTAAACGACGTCTAAAGGTATAAAATTTTGTTTGTTATTTTTATTCCATAAAGAAAAATATTGAATCGTTGTTGATGGTGGAATTGCATCAGTTATATCTAACATTTTTGTAAATGTTGTTGCTATTTTTGCTTTTGGTATGATTTGCATAATTTCAAATTTAATTGCATAAGCAATACATATTTTTTATTTTTCCTTTATAATCAGGAATTTTATAGGGCATAATCTCAAACTACTGAGCGCATTATTGAATTTTTTCCTCATAAAAATCGTTTCCTTGCAATAAATCTTATATATAAAATAATATGGTGAATATATACGAGATCTCGCAAAGTGACGCTATTTAACGGCAGAAACGTTAAGATCTCTTACTGTTTCTGCCACAGATTGGAAAGGTTAGTGATTATTGTATGTAAAATATCTATTTACATCTTAATGTTGTTTTGTTTTATAAACTAGCCTGTTTTAAAATAATGTGACTAACGATTTTAAAAGGATAAGTGAGTATTTTGTTTTTAACTTTCTATTTTATGTAAGCTTATCAAATTTCCTATTAAACATTCGGTTTTGTGAATAGGTCTCATGCGAAAGCCATGATGAAACAACTAAACTTTTAGGATTGCTTGGTTAGGCCTAAGCGTTTAGTAAATGGAACTAAACTAGACTAAATATAATGCAGTGTAATTTTGTTAGACGTAACCATACATTTCGAGATTTTATTCATATTTAAAAATCTAACTCTTGTATAGTTTTGTTATTAAATATTAGATTTACAAGAAATAGTATGCAACGATAATAGCGAAAACACTAGTACCAAGTTCAAAATTACAATGTAATGTACTGTGTAACTAATTAATATTATTTGATAATAGTAATACAGATAATATTAAGTAACACATACTTTGTAGGATTAGCATAAAATGCATCTTTCAGTGTTTTATATACATAATGTTCATATAATTGTTAATGATGAGTAAGAAACATTAAAATGATGGACACATTTTTATTGATACTTCACATTTGTATTCTTTGATATAAAATATTTGTAATTGTCTCTCCTCCATCCCACTGGTAGCTTTAGGTTTTTTTTGTTTTTAATTTGAACACTTGCCTAATGTTTGTTCTCTTCTCACAATGACGTGCACGGGTTACAATGACAACCACAGTTTCATATTTATAATTTCCATTGAAATGAATATGTGTACGTAAAGAAAAAATAAATATGAAAGTTACTATCACTGGAATGAAAAGCAAACATCCCAGCACTGACTCCTGGGAAGGGCAAAAAAGTTTAATAAATAGCTTACATGGGTGGGCATTTTGACAGTGGGGGGAAAAAACAAAGAAAACTATGCAAACGGGTAAAAAGTTAAAAACACTGTCCTATATTTTAGGAATGTTATAAACTGACAATTTCCAAAATATAAATTTAACTTTTATTATCACATGTATGTACAAAGGAAACAAATCATAAGAAAGGATCAACAGAACAGTAGGGTTTAATAGCACTAATTAGAAAACTGTATTAATACCACTAACAGTTTAATTATTAACTCAGTTTGTTTATATGGGGTGTTATTGATACTGTTTTCCAATTGACATTTTTTTCTGTGTTTTTATTACCCAAGTTTACCTTTATAAAGATAATGTATCTTACCCAAGTGTCCAGTTTGACAGAACACTATTAACTACATTCATCTTGTTTCTCTTACCAAACCACCCAATGAACTAATCTTTTCCCAACCCCTACAGTGTGATTTTCTTAACTAATATTCTGTGTGATACCGTTTGTAAAAGCTGGTTGAATACCCAACTACACCAAATCAACACCCTGTCCATCATTCAGATAATAAATAACATCCTTGAAAAGATGGCTTTATTGTTTAGGTTTTAGGTCGGTTAATAGTCAAAAGAGTGATAAAAACAGATGTGGATTGTGAATAGGAGTGCCTTATGTATAGTACTAAGATGTATTCTAAGATTGTACCTGATGATGACAAAACCGTGTCGAAACATTGTACATTTGCTGTTATGTTAAACTTGTATTATTCTTCATTACCCATTCAAGCCGTCTCCAGCCATTATTACTAAGATGTATGTAAACCAAAGTTGTAACGTTGTCTTCACACGATATTTCAAAAACAGAAGAAATAAGAAAAGCACTTGCTTTGATTTTTTTTCCACTTATCATATTTTACGAAAGATTGAATACCTTGAACCTAAGTGCAAATAATATATAATTTTAGCAATGCTGTTAACCCTTTTGAGATGGGTCACGGGAGAAAGGCCATGTCATCTCGTTTGTTAACTTGCATTCAAAATTTTATTGAACTACTATTTCATGAATTTGTCAATAAGTTTTGTATCAAACTGTAGGTTATAATTCAAATTTTAGAACTATACATTACTCAATTTGTTAATTTAAAAGTGAATATTAAAAAAACAGATTTTTGTGTGTGTCAAGTGGTATGTTGAATGCAGCACTGGTTCAAATTAGATGTTTGTGATGTTAAAATACTAAGTGTGTAGATTTGTATGAATTAAGAACCAAATTACCGATATTGACAAACTAGAATATAACATAAGAGCCTTTTATTTTTCTATTTGCTAAGATATTGCTCATGTAATAAATCAAACACTGTGGCACGCCACTCGCCTCTTTCTATATTTGGAAATGCTCCATTATATACACTTACTTATATATGACTTGAATAACCAATTGGAAGCTCAGAATGTCCCCCTAGTGGCTTTCTCAGCCATTTTAACAAAATACTAGTTTACTAAAACACAGCCAAGACTTCAGTGGTAGGAATTAGTGTTTTCAATTTTTGTTGGTTGATAGAATTATTCAACCACTTTGAAGCACTATGGTACTTCAGTGGTAGGAATTAATGTTTTCAATTTTTGTTGGTTGATAGAATTATTCAACCACTTGACAGCAGTATGGTACTTCAGTGGTAGGAATTAATGTTTTCAATTTTTGTTGGTTGATAGAATTATTCAACCACTTGACAGCAGTATGGTACTTCAGTGGTAGGAATTAATGTTTTCAATTTTTGTTGGTTGATAGAATTATTCAACCACTTGGAAGCAGTATGGTACTTCAGTGGTAGGAATTAATGTTTTAAATTTTTATTGGTTGATAGAATTATTCAACCACTTGACAGCAGTATGGCACTTTAATGGTAGGAATTAGTGTTTTCAAGACTGAAGTGGCTTCTTAGCATAACGATGTTTCAACTTCACCGTTTTTTAAAACTACGTTTTAAAAACTGGTAGGATACATTTAATTAAGTATACAGTACAGTTTCAGTACCATAGTAACTAAGTGTATCTACTTAAAATCAAGTACAAATATCTGGTGGAGCTATGGAGCACCTGTATAAAGATGCTTTTGGTTAAAAACTGATAGGATACGTTTAATTAAGTATACAGTTTCAGTACCATGGTAACTAAGTGTATCTACTTAAAATCAAGTACAAATATCTGGTGGAGCTATGGAGCACCTGTATAACGATGCTTTTGGCTTTGTACTCGGGTTATTTTACTGTTGGGCACTAATCATTATTTTACTGTCTGCGTTTAATATTAGTGTTGGGCACTAATCATTAATTTCCCCTATTTAACACACAGTAAAATAATGATAAGTGCCCAACACTAATATTAAACACTGACAGTAAAATAATGATTAGTGCCCAACACTACTGTCTGTGTTTAATATTAGTGTTGGGCACTATCTTTTATTTTAATATCAGTTTGTTCATACTATCCCATTGTTCACAAGAGTTAATGCTAATTCTGAATTCTACTCGTACACATTTTTTTTTTTGCACTGTCACCCAGAAACAAGCAGGGTTTAACTATTCTATTTCAGAAGGGGCCAAGGGTAGTTATTAATAGGGTAGTCGATCATATTCTCTGGAGTTTCCTTTACAAAACGTGACATATTTTATGTAAATAAGGATCTACAGATTCAGTATGTTGTTATGCAGTCATCCTTCATTATTTGTTGAATGTTCCTTCATGAGTATAAATTATACAAAACTGAATCAATGGCTGGAATTTTTATACCACTTGATGTTAAGAAAACACTGGAATGTGTTTACGTATGAGATTTTCCAGCAAAATTTATTTTGACCCTGTTGTAAGGATTTATGTACCTTTGAAAAAGTTTCAATAAGCATACTGGATCCTTTTGTAATTCGTCTTCTACATATCAGAAAAAAGGCTTTTGAGTTGGAATTTTTAAGTTTTTTTTGACATAAAAAATCAGATTTTGATTTGATTTCAGTGAGCTTCAAACAAAAACAGACGTGTTTGTGAATTTTGTCTGAGCATAATACAGAATTAATAGCCCCTAAGAGGAAAGTCCAAATAGTTTTGAATAAAGTAGCAGTAAGCAGACCTTATAGCTTCAATACAACTTGAATTTGTTGACTGTCTCATCCTCAGTTGTCATAATGTGATGTAAGAGAAGGTTACAACTTCCACCACATGTTTTAGTATGACAGGAAATGGTTTTTGGAACAAGATAAGGTAGGCTTAGTTAAACCTATTTGTAATTGGCAGAAAAGACCAATGCAATAGGTGTTATCAAGCTAAGTAACTGTATTTAATGGATAAAGTAAACCACCATATGGAAGTTAATATAAAATGGGTTGAATTTGTGTATTAAATAAGAACTTCCGATTAAAAATGAAGAAAGGAAAACGTTTTATGTTGGTTACAATAACGTGGGAAGACATATACAGCAAAGTTAAGCATTTTTAAATTATTACTTTAAAAACTCTATCTAATCAAATATAGTTCAAAGCTGCATGTTCATTCAAATATCATATATAAAAACAAGGTTTCATTTGTAATAGCAACTTCAGAGTATGTATTCCTGTATATATTTTTTTCATTGCAATAAAACCATACAATAGCACTCAGACCTGCTATTTACATGACATGTTACAATGCTTTTCGGGGTGTTGTTTATTTAAGAGTTATTTGTGGATGTTGTTAATGGTTTTATTTCACTCGGCAGCCTTTGTTTGGCATATAGCATCATGGTCTTTCATCGTGTTTAGAAAGTTGCCAGAAGACCCATCACTTGTCTATGTAAACGTGACAGTGTATCACATCATATTTATCACTGACTATTATCAAAGGCATATTACAACATTAAATTTGTTTCCAATTCAAAGTAACGTACATTATCCTTGCACAGGTAGCATTAAAGAGTAGAAATAATTGAGTATTTGTTTGAATTTTTCAAACAGTTGTAGCAATATATAGATTAGAGACCGTTGAATATTGTTAAGGCTGTAAATGTCAGCAGCGTTGATCCAAAGCCTTTCGAGGAGATTGAATTCCTTTTTGTACAAGTTTTGTTTGTGTAGCATATTCCCTTTAAATGTCAAAAGATTTATTAGGATTTTATTTATTTTTTTACATATTTTGAATCCTTAATTCTGTACTTTCAATGCCCAGTGTAGAAAAAGTCTTAGCTAAACTAAAAACACTTAAGTATGACAAATAAAAGGTTTTTCCATTTAATTGCCTTCAAACATGTTTTTCCAAAAATTTGGAAATTGACAATCTCATAGTGGTTTTTAACTCGTAACTTCAGATCTGTTGATGCTATAGACTTCACAGTTGGTATAAATATGCATTATTAGTGTATCTATAGTGTGTGATAAGAGGTTTGACTTTTATTAAATGACCATTAATGAGTCGCTATACCACGTGTCTTACTTTGGACATACTCATTAGTGTTACCTAATTAGTTGGACCATCCACACATTGTTATTGATGATAATAGAAACCCTGCTATAATACAAGCAGTAAGTGTACCTGATATGTTGATTTTAATTTTGTTACATTTTTACTTCTCGGTTATCATTTGCTGCTATTTTCCGATTTCAGAAAAATGGCTCCACGTAAAGGAAAGCAAAAGGAAGACCAGCCTGTTCTAGCCCTAGGTCCTCAGGCTCTTGAAGGAGAAAACGTCTTTGGTGTGGCTCACATCTATGCCAGTTTCAATGATACCTTTGTCCATGTTACAGATCTTTCAGGAAGGTTTGTGTGCTGTATTCATAAAACATAAGTTTTCTACTTTTTTTCAGCTTGTGTAATAAATTCTTATATTACTGATATTTCTTTGAGTTGTCATCTCAGATTTATGTTTAACTTTCAGCCATCTTTTGTGGGAATTAAGAAAATCAAGTGATGTTAATTTAAAGTAAGCATAATTCTATCTGTAATTTGAACAATATCGTACTCGTTTCCAGGGAGACAATTGCCCGGGTTACAGGAGGAATGAAGGTAAAGGCCGACAGAGACGAAGCTTCTCCATATGCAGCCATGTTAGCAGCCCAAGATGTTGCTGAAAAGTGCAAAACAATAGGAATTACAGCATTGCACATTAAGCTGAGAGCCACTGGTGGAACCAGGTGTGTGCTGAACATTTTAAGTTCAACTGACCTTGTGTTTGAGAAGCTTAAATTTGCATTTAGATCACCGGAAAGTCAAATTTTGATCGAAAGTTGGCGTAATATTGCTGCATACAAACATCTGAAAACTAACTGAATTGTACTGATTCGCTGCTTATACATATCAAAAATAGTTTATATAGTGGCAAAATCATGTTTAGAAAAACTTCTCTAAACAAAACTTGAAGTATGTTCTTATTTTAATGTTGTTACTATGTTTTAACGTTATAAATTAATAAAGATTACGTGCGAAGTTTTCTGCATTCTATATCATAAATGTTTTTTTTTATATATGTATTATGCGAAAGATACATTCCTTTTTTTTTAATGCATAATATATTTTATTTTTAGGACAAAAACTCCTGGACCTGGTGCCCAGTCAGCTCTTCGAGCATTGGCTCGATCTGGAATGAAGATTGGACGAATTGGTAAGGGATGATTGATTCTAGCCAGTTCAGAATGTTAAAAAAACATTTGAAGCAACATACAAATACAAAAAATGGTCTTTGTTTCGCAAGTTATAAGCTGTAAAATTCCAGAAATATATTCGAATTGATATTTGCCATCTGAGGGCTTATATTTGTGAAAGAGTAAATGTCAATTTTATCATCATCATACAGTTTATATTACATTTATGATAAATGGTAGGGAACTTGTTGTGAAAGATGGTTTCTAAGGATTTAGTTGGTTATTGATTGTTAACAGTTGTGTCACGAAGAAAATACTGACTTTGTATAGGTTGAACACGGTAAGGTATGGCTCCCTCAAGATAAAGTTGTGAAAGATGCTTTCTAAGGATTTAGTTGGTTATTGATTGTTAACAGTTGTGTCACGAAGAAAATACCGTCTTTGTACAGGTTGAACACGGTAAGGTATGGCTCCCTCAAGATAAAGCATCTAGATGGGTGTCCGAGTCAACATAACCAGAAAATACAAGTATGCATTGGAATTTATGCTAAACCATTAAAAATACCTTCCATGGTCCTTAGTGTTTTAGTTTGTTCAAATGTGCCCTTGGAGTCTTCATCACCTCAAAGTTGATGGCCTTTGGAAAACATGTTAATAGATCGTTTGAGATAACACTAACTTGGTGTATTCTACAGAATCAGACTATGTTGGAGTAGATTGGTGGGGATAACACTGACTTGGTGTATTCCACAGAATCAGCCTGTGTTGGAGTAGATTGGTGGTGATAACACTGACTTGGTGTATTCACAGAATCAGACTATGTTGGATTAGATTGGTGGGGATAACACTGACTTGGTGTATTCCACAGAACCAGTCTGTGTTGGAGTAGATTGGTGGGGATAACACTGACTTGGTGTATTCCACAGAATCAGCCTGCGTTGGAGTAGATTGGTGGTGATAACACTGACTTAGTGAATTCCACAGAATCAGACTGTGTTGGAATAGAATGGTGGGGATAACACTGACTTGGTGTATTCCACAGAATCAGACTGTGTTGGAGTAGATTGGTGGGGATAACACTGACATGGTGTATTCCACAGAATCAGAATAATATCTTTCTAATATCTAATTGTTGGTGTTTTTTAATTATTTCAGCAAGAACTGATATGATCAATGTTCTGGCTAGTGTCATCATTAAGTTTTATTCAGTAACACGAGTTCAATCACTAACCTATTGTGTGCCGTACAGTTTAAGCTGTTTGACACTGCAGCTGACATTTGTTTATAAATAAGAAATACGGCTTCTCTGAATAAAATTACATAGGTTATAATTTTATTTTTAACCACTTTGTGTTGTTTTCCTCCAATTTTCACACACTAGTTGCCATTTCAGATACTTGTGGGTAAGTTATAGAACTAAAAAATGTGTGGGTAACATAATGCCCCAAATAATTAGCAATAGTCATTTGTAATGTTAGTATGATGACATCCTCTGCAATAGAAACATGTTGTAAACGTACGTAACATTTACTGTGCATCTAGGAGTCACAACTTCTGTAACAGATCTTGACTCCAATTCCATCAGACAGCACAAGAAGGAAGGGTGGTCGCCGGGGCCGACGTTTGTAAGATTCTGACGATGTGGATACTTTGTAACCTTTAATAAATGATGCTGTCATTTGCACGTCAACTGTTGTTGCTGATTTCTTTATGTGCATCTAGCAATATCACAGATTACAAAGGTTAAAGTAACTAAATTCATTACACTTTAAAACCGACATTTTTAACTGTCTTAATCTATGATAAAAGATGTTTTCGTTGTTTTTCTGGTACATACAAAAAATTAACACACATTTTAAATAAAAATAATATTACTAATTAATTTCTTCTCGTATAATAAATCTCTTTGTGTTAAACTTGCTATTGAAATAGGCAAGCTTCTTACAGTGAGTTTTTATTTTTAAGCTTTGAGTATATTGTTGTTTTCATAGAACAAAGTGGTAGTCACAATCCTACACACTAGAGTATGCATGTGTAGTAATCTGGAAAGGTGTTTCTTGTCTATCTGGAGTAAACTTACGTACTTGTTCTTTAAATATCTTTATTTTAAAGTTGTCAACGTCTTTGTTGGAGATTTCTGAAGTAACTGTATGTAAATAAAGTAAATCCAGATAAATTTATTTTATTAGATTTACAAGAAATATGTTGTGCTTTGATGAATGTGTGAAACAAAATATAAGCTGTTTTTATTTTCCAGCAAATTTCGATATTTTAATAACAGAATAGTTTGAATATTATTACTTAGTGCTGGAACTTTCAAGTCCCATATATAAAACACATTAATCTGGACACATTGCCAGACTAGCTAGCCCCGGTTTCCTACAGATTCTAGATAAACTTCTTTTTTTTTAAATTTAAAAACAAATAATTCTACTTCAGATAATTGATTATATACAAAATCTAGTAATAAGAATACATATTGTAGAGATTTTGACAGAAAAAATGAACATTTTTGTAATTGAATGAATTTTTATTGATTTCATGCTTAATTTGTAGGGTAGGTTTAATTATAAAATACATATGTTCTTAAACTCGGGTTATTTTTAAACTTGTATATCTAGTCCCAGCTCATAAAAGGCGTACACACCATAACAATAGTTTTAAATTTGTTTGATTAAACCTGTAAAAAAACTGTCATTACTTGAGCGTTCTAAGGATCACCTTTATTTTAGCTTATCCAAATGTTTTGCATATATCCTAAATGAATAGTTTGAAATATATTTTATGCACGTACATGGCAGGTGCATGCAAGATTAAAAGTAAATAAATTGGGTGAAATGTGGTTCTGTAACTATTTAAGATTTCAAGAACCTTGTGGTTTCAAAGAAATATTTTTTAAATAAGTAGCAGTACAGAAACTATTGGATGTTAATATTTGTACCTCTCCAGATGTGAGAACTGTGTTTTGAAAAAGAAAAGTTTTTATTTAATTCACTACTAAGAGAAAATTTCTGCTATATAAATATTAACATCACTAGATTAGTTAGTGCAAGTAAGCTTATCTAATGTTAAATTTTGTATTTTAATGAATACTTCTGTTTATATGCATTCAGGAATGGTAATTAAGACTTTGGAGCCGTTCCCTCTAGAGGTGGTTAGCACAGAAAGCCTTTGAGTAACTGTACATAAATATACAAAAACAAGTGTTGGGAACAATTAAAATAGAAAATGATCATTGATGGGATGTTTACCTAATATGTATGAATAATTACAAATACACCTTTTGGTGCAAAAGTGAAATGCAACAAGTGGAACACTGATATAATTGTGCTGAAAACCTCAAAAAATAAAATACTTAATCTTTCTTGATTGTTTCAACTTTATATTTGACCTAAATGATGTGAAGTATGTTTTAGTAGAGGAGAAAAAAAAGTGACCTTGGCATTGTTGAAATTTCCTTTCAAAATATTCTGTTGATGAGTGGAAACATGATCCTGTGGTAATTGCAAATATATCAGTTACCCTTTAGAGTAATCATGTACGTTCCTCAGAACAGCGCGAAGTTGGAGCGTAAAATATTTTGAAGAAGAATTTCTGAATCCTCAAGAGTTTGAAAGAGACTGGGCACAGTGTGTAACAAAAATTATTTTTTTTTGCAAAAACAAAGTTGTGTATTTGTCTGCCAGAGACTGCACATTTTCTGGAAGCTTGGGAGTCCTCAATGGAGAGGTAGGTTTCTTGTGAAGAACTACTGTCAAACTGCTGCAGACTTAAGAAAACCTAGCATTATATACATGAAACAATAATGATATTCTTGGAGTGTGTTTTGCCCACATTGCAGTTGGTCATTCCCATCAGAAGTAAGAGATATTCCCTAACTTGCCAGTAGAAAAGATCACTATTCAATTTCATAAAGTATGTTCTACTCACAGAAATATTTTCCATGAGAAGGCATAGGTGAATGACCCAGTTCAATAGGTAACTAGGGTGAAAGGAACTTGCTATGCCCTGTTATTCCAATACTCAATTTCCCTTTCACCTACATAAGAGTACAAATGAGAAGAACTAGTTTCTAAGGGCCTACTTATGGATGAAGGTAAAGATGAATTCTTAAAGCTAAGAACACTCACTTTGGTCCTGTGAACATCTCTACACCTTTCATTCATAGGAGTGTGAATAAACCACGTAGAAAGCATAACAACAGAGTTTCTTGTTACAGTTAAAAGACTACAGATTGTTTGTGTCATTGAAATAATCTACTATGTATTCATCAGCTTGGCTTAGGAGAAAGGTAATTAAAACATCCCAGAATTTTGGTATGATGAGACAGAGGATACAGAAGTAACGTGTGAAGTCTTGGTGGCAGAGGCAATTACCCAATCATCAATAGCATTACAAATACAATATTGTGAAGCCAGGGTAATTTCTATGCTGTCATTGACTTCAAGTCTTGATGCTTACTGGGGTTGAGAGGAGGTATCATCGGATTTCTCTTATCTGTTACATACCTAATGGTTATGTGATATGGGGAATATGATGTGGTGACTGATCTAGATAATGTCAGGAACTGAAGTGATAAAATTCACTATACAGACAATTCATGTACTGATATATTATACATCATCTGTTATTTTAAGTGTGAAATGTACCCTAAAAACATGTTCACAACAGGACTACCATTCACACGAAGAAATTAACTGACTCCAATGCTGAAATTGTTCATCACATCTTTAGCCCTCTACTGCTGTTTTTCTAGAAAACCCCACATGGTTCCTTTCCAGAATTGTCAAGTATTGGGACTGTGTGTTCTGTTGTTTTAGTATTGACCTTCAAAGATTCTGAATGGGAGTATGACAGTTTGTTCCTTTACATGGTTTATTATTTTATATTTCTGCGGTATTTTTTTTATCATTCTCGTCACATTTGGGTGTGAAGTCAGAATGAGCCCTTAGTAGTAGGAGTTGTTCTTTATCTTTGACTCCCAATATTTAGTTCTTTTCTGGGCATGTATAATGAACCATACCTTATGGTTGATAACCACAGTAAATTCAATAAAGCTAAATCTGAAATATTTTTGTTTACAAAACAAAATTGTCTGTCTGATAATTGTGCAAGATCTTTTTCTATTGAAAATAACACACAATGTTTTTCAGTCTCGCTTACGATTTCACAAAAATCCTTTTATTCATACTGAACAACGTGGTTGTATCCGTTGTAACTTCAGTTTCTGTACAGAAATGCATTAATAATTCACTTATTTTCTCCGGCGTTCACCAATTCTAATCATTACTAGCTTGTACATTCTACTAATTAAATATGGGAAATATGTTTAAAGTATCTTAGTTCTTGGTTAATTAAAACACTAGAAACAATTGTTTGATCTGCTTCTTCGTAATAAATTAAAAATGTTGATTTAAGTTCAGTAATCACTATTACATAGATAAACTTCAGTATCAACTAAACCAGATTTTTTTTGTTTCACTGTAAATGTGGTGGTTTTAACTTTTAGGGTGAGATTAAAAGTATGGTTTCAATAAACTTGATTTGTTCAGACAGTGGGTAGTTTATCATTTCATGTACAAAACTAATGATTACTTAACAACACATCCCACTTTTGGGCTCAACTTAAATAGTTTTATCTTTTCTGCCAAAAGAAAAATACATTTTTACAATTCCATCATACAAATTTCTTTTGGGCCGTAATAAAAAGTTGTTCAAGTATAGAAACAAAACGTGCATTTCCTTTTTTAGAACTCTCTGTTTTGGTGTTTGCACGAAAGGTAAAAATTACTTTATACAATTAGCTACTTATAAAAGAATAAACATTCACAGAAAAAACATCTTTCACACTACTATAATTATATACATTGTACACTTTCGAGAAACGCTCAACCTGTCCACCTCCAAGTTAAAGATCACAGTCATGAAGCTGTGTTTTCACAACATCGTCTTCTATATCATGAATCTTACTATAAACGTTGTCCGTTTCATACTAATAACTTATATACAAAGCAAAAGGGGAAACCAAATTATGCTCAATATACAGTACGTACAAGTATTGAATACACCAGCCTTGAACTGAATATTACAACAATAATACACAATATCTAGATGGAAATTTATATCCTTTCCGTAGGAAAACAATACACCATTGACTGGAAATCATTAACCCTTTCAGTACTATTGGCTTATATTTGTGCGGGAGTGGTAGGACCCATACAATCCATAAAGATATTTTGAAGGTGATACTCCAGTCCTTAGGTCACTTGTACCATTTTCATTTTAAGGACATTAAAGTGGGCAGCGTGGCTATACATTCGTAGTTGGGTGGTTGTGAATTTTGAGACTAGCCCACATCGTGCTGTTGTGTCCTTGAGCAAAGCACCTTGTTCCAGTCTACACAGCTGTATGACGGACCGGCATCCTGTTCAGGGTCAATGAATCACCATTCTCATTGGCCTGTATCAATGGAACCAGAGTTCAAAAGCACTAGCCTTAAGTGCCTTGTAAAGGCCTAATAAGGATTTAACTTTTAAAATCATACTGAAAGGGTTGAAGAGTAAGGGTTCTTTTAGTAACTGTCGCTCTACTACACATAGTAATACATTAATAAGACTAATGCTTTCCACCTTTGAACATCAGAAGTACACCTTGCATGCTCAGACTTGTGAACGTGTATAAAACAAGGAACAATTTACAATCCAAGTCTTGCTACAAGAGATTTCCGATACTTTCTAGTTACACAGCTGACACTTGAGTTTCTTCATCCTCTACAAAGAGAAATCTGTAGTATTCACAATATAAAGTACATTTTCAAGCTATTATTACTCGGTATGTATCTTAACGTTACAAGTATAACACTCGCTAAACACACCTATTGAACTTTGAACTAAACTCTGAGGGGGGCAGAATGAGAATTAAATTATGGAACTTAACATTCTTCCTTATAGTAAAATTTATTTATTGAAATCTGGTTGCAAGTTTTTTTTTTACATTTATAGCTAAAAATAATATAGCCTAAAACAAAATATATAATTTTAAAAAATTTACCATCTTCAGGGTCTGTAATATCTTCATTATAGTAACCCACAAATGTCATACCATCGTGACTACGAGCCCGAGCTAAATGGGCTTTATGACGTCCACGTGACATGACCTTAGATGAGTGTGGATAGTCTAAGAGCCTCTGTCCATGAATCAGTGAATAGCGTGAGCTGTTGTTTGTAGGATAGAGTGGAGGCATTAAGGCTGGGGTTGATGGAAGACCTTTTGAGGAGAAAAGATACAGAATCTTATATATCAATGTGCATGTGTGGCATCTTTATTATAGTAGCAATAAAAAAGAAACCTCTGGCAATTTCTAAAAATGGGCTTAAATTCTAGTTGATTTACTAGATCAAAAGCAGAGAAACTTGATTTATGTGAGTTTTGGTTGTTGTAGTACTGTTGCTAAGTGATATATTTCCTTGGCATGGTACAATACTTAACCCATAATGACATATCCGATGAAAGCTCCCATAAATGATAGATATACTTCAAAATTAAAACTGTTTCTTGGCCATAACCAGTTATAATACAACTAACAGGAAATGACCAACAGAGGTCACACCTGTGTTAGCTAACCTTTCTTAACTAGTATTTTATCGACTACACAGTTGGTCAGCAGGAAATACATTTGGAAACAAAAATTATTGTATTGTGAGGATATCTAATAATTTATACCTATTCTTGTAAGTAGTAACTTTTATAAAAAAACAGTCAAGCCTTAGTCAATTATATAGATTTGTAGTGTTTTTAACTGACTAAAAATATAAATTTTGAATATTTGTAAAAACCATTTTATCTACTTCATTTAAAACTATTCATTCAGGATCATGTACAAGTACTACAGAATTAAGTAAGAAAACTAGGGGATGATTCAGTGAAAGATCTTAATAATCTTATTTATTTCTCCATAAATTGTTTGAGTGGTATGTTGCCCACATCAAGTTCTAAATTTCTTTATTTTATGATATCCGGGCAAAACCAGTTGTGTGTCAATGGTAATAAAAACTTACCAGCAAGTCCAGAAGGAATTGGTGGAAGTACCTGGACTCCTTGAGGAATGTATGGAGTACTTGTTTTCATCGGAATAATAGCTGGCGAGTGTGAAACTAAAAATGTTAATTGAAAAAAAAAATCAGATTTTTTTTCGTCACTCTCAAACGTCTCTATTTTAATTGCAGTAGGGATAGGTCTAAAAATAAACAATGACAAAATTAAAACAAAGTAAAATACAACAATATTTTCATATCCAGTGTTGAAAGGAGCCATTTACACAAGTTATATACAGTTGATTCTTATTGAAACATTTTACCAAAAATATAAAAATACTATTATTATCTGTATCGTACATAGAAACTTTAGGGCTATGCCCTCCTTTAGGTGATGTATCTAAATGTGTTTTATGTACTAAAGTGATAAAATGAAAAAAAATATATTTTCAATAATTTTGTTTGATTTTTTTTTGATTATCTGTTTACTTACTAATCCTGTGTTCCAACTGTTAACACCTTGTCTTGTGAATAAGAAGATGGGATATTTATCTCATTGTTAATATGTTTGTGTTACGTATCTGCTTGTTTGTTTATCTGTTTACTTACTAATCCTGTGATCCAACTGTTAACATCTTGTCTTGTGAATAAGAAGATGGGATATTTATCTCATTGTTAATATGTTTGTGTTACATATCTGCTTGTTTGTTTATCTGTTTACTTACTAATCCTGTGATCCAACTGTTAACATCTTGTCTTGTGAATAAGAAGATGGGATATTTATCTCATTGTTAATATGTTTGTGTTACGTATCTGCTTGTTTGTTAATTCTGTTTACTTACTAATCCTGTGATCCAACTGTTAACATCATGTCTTGTGAATAAGAAGATGGGATATTTATCTCATTGTTAATATGTTTGTGTTACGTATCTGCTTGTTTGTT